GTGGACCGTGTGGAGCGGGCCGCGGGACGCAGACCCACCTGACCCCGGCGCACGCCCTTCCGAGTGGGGAGCAGCCTCCGAGAAACGTCTGCCACCGCGAAGCATTTCCCTCAGGTCGAACGGCAAACGGGGCCAAACGACTGCGACCGGCCGGCTCCCCGGCCTGGGAGGGGCCCAGCTCCCTCTAAGGGCACCAGGTTGCTTCACCAAAGGGGGGCTGCGGCTCAGAAACCTGGACAGAGCGGGCAGATTTCCCAGCTCCGCTCAGCTCGCCTCTTCTGATACCCGTGCGAGTGACTGAAAGCAAAAGAAAGTACTAGACTGGTTCACAGATGCCGGTGCTTTGAAACAGGACAAATGTCTTCGATTCTTTGGAATTTCAGGTCTTACCTGCCAAGTGATTTTTTTCCCTAAAAACGAGTAACTGAAAGAAAACCCGAATGACGCCTTTCTTCTTTCTGAGTGACCGTGTCACGCGGCGCGGGGCGGCGGGGCCTGGCAGTGTTCCAAGCGACCTCCATGCCTGCTAAGAGCGAGCTGGGGCGCAGCCTTAGCACTGGGAACCAGGAGATTTCAACGTAAAGCTTTGGCCGTTTTGCCTCTACTATATACACTGTTAGGACTACACAGTCATAAATTAAAGCAGTGATTAAATAAGCTCATATAAAACGTAATTAAATTAAAAAAATCACAGCACATCATAGAGAAAAATAGGAACCAGTTTCACAAAAAGATTATTATATATTTTTTTTTTTACCCTGTGGAAACAAATTTTCTACAAAACACAAAAACCTTTGTAAGTAACGATTGAAATGAAAATCTTCCCTTATTTTGTTCTTGCATTTTTATATAACCCTAAGCCCACCTAGGGGATGTTTTCAGAAATTAAGTCTTCCTTGAGCAACGGAGCAGTTCTGCCAAGAAAATAGACCCCAAACCAAAGGGGGAGGGAGGGAACATCCCAAACATACAAACTACAAAATAAATAAGAATTATAAAGTTTTTCTTAAAAGTAACCTTAACAATTATCAAACTAGTAAGTTCTGCCTTATCACACAGACTCTCTATACAACATAACCCTAGACTTTATTACTATGAGGTATTTGGAGGAACTGGTAAAGGTGACACACGGCTCGCCTGGTGAGGGACCTGGGGCGTGAGAGGGCTTGGGAGGGAGCGAAAGAAGAAGGAGGAGGAGGAGGAGGAGGAGGAGGAGGAGGAGGAGGAGCAGGAGCTTTGGTTTATCAGCAAAACATTGGGTGGGGGCGTCATCCTTTGGTATCAAAGAAAGTTTCATTGCATGGTTGCATGGAAAAAGCACCACGGTGAATAATTATTCCTTTTTTTTCATTAGTGGCCTTTCTAAGAGGCTGAGGTATTCAAAGAGTATAAGGAGAGAGAGGTTAACAGCGGTTTAACACTTTGGTTCAAGCAAGGCACTCATCCTAGGAGTTACAAAGTTTGCGACATATTTGCTAGAGGTTTACAAGAAGAACTAGCAGTCAGTAGTAAGAGCAGTGTGTCCTAACGTCGTTGTCGTATCAGTATTGAGAATGAAGACGAGTTTGTACACTGAGTGAAGAGGGGGCAGGGAGGTGGGGACGGGTGGGATGGGACGGGACAGGGGTTCCCTCTGCAGACAGGCCGTGCAGGAAAGTATCTTTGGTATTCTTTGGTATCATCAATGTGATTAAAATCACCAATGGAAATTGAGTGAGGTAGCGTCTTTGGTTCACACTATAAAGAGTAGATCTTTACACTTTGTTTTTTACACGTGGAAGTAGCTATTTCTTACTTTCTGCTTCTCTGTCCTTTTACCATTTAGGAAATAGTTACCAAACGTACTGTAAAGATAACCACACCACAGTAATAATCCACAAGGCCCAGTGCGTCTCAGGACAGCCTCTGGGTTTGAATGCACCCTAAACAGCTGGATAGAAAAGGGACAAGTGCTTTCTCTTTGTTTGCTGAATGCATAGATTTCATCCTTTTGTACAAAGAAGGGAGGATGGTTCTTAGGGAGAATGTCCTAGGACTCTTTGGTACAGCACAGTACATCTAACCTGCAGAGACGGGGTCTCCATGGGGTGGCGCAGGGCAGAGTGGGTCCAGCACAGCAGAGTGCTTGTGTGTTCCTGGGAAAACAACGCTGCCTTCGTGGGGACGCGCTGAGTGCCGTGCTCAGTCGGAACTTCTGTACTTCCCCCCACACGTTTTCTTTGGTCTTTGGGGTCTGCTCCAGGGACGGGGAGGCCCAATTCCTGATTCTCCGATCTCTACCTGGACTTCTCCTGAAGCCTGGGCTTTTGAGGTGTCCAACGTCAACCCCTGGCCCTTTTGGAAAAGCTTCCTGTTAGGAAAAGACCTGAATGGTCCATGGCAAAACAGATTAACTTCCATTCTACCAAAACAAAACAAAAAAGGTGTTATTTGAAGTGCAGCTTGGTAATTAACGAAAGTGTAACCGAGTGAGTGCAGTGCCTGCCTAAGGTGAATTTTGCCACCGGACTGAGCAGTGAGGGAACAGATCGCCCGAGTCTGCCCTGTGGAATGTGGCGGATTAAAGGACAGGAGCTGTAAATGAGCACTGCCCTAAGCCACCGAGTGGGGAAGAAGCATCTTTGCCACACCCCAGCTCAGAAGCAAGTGACGGATCAGCCGCCATGGGACGCGGGACGTGTATTGCTTGTGGGAAGCCCCTTATGAGGTGAGTCTGTGTAGTCAAGTAAAAAAATGCGTTCCAGCCTCTGAGTTGTGCCTCTGCCTATGAGAAAATATATATCTAGGCCCTGAAATTGAGTAAAGGGTGCAAGTTCAATGCCGTACAAAAATCATCTTTGGTGTTAGCAAGTAGGGGAACTGATTATTTAAAAAACCATGGTGGTAGGATATTTAAAATGTAGTGATATTCTTTTAGACTGTGCCTACACAGGACCAACATAATTAGTTGAAAATGCAAAACGCAGTTGGATTAATTTGGGGTAAATCCAATAAAAACAAATGGAGGTTGTTTGAGATCCGTGTTTGTCTTTCCTGGGGAGGTAAACTTGGGTAAGAGTGTGTGTAGGCACAGCTTGAACTTCCCTGCATTTGAAAGTCTCATATTTTAGATAAATAAGACTTTCCTCCCTCCTAAACCATTACTACAGTATGTAGCTGCACCCCCAGCTCCCTCCATTCCGGGAGAGAAAAATAATTAATCGTGTTTTTCTTTCTGTTATGTTGTTGATAAGATTATATTTTTAGGAAGTCTTGAAGGGTAGCCTTTGAACAGTCTCTTAATACTGAACTAAAATTGTGCCATATTTAGAAGTGAAAAATTATAGCTGGAGTCTTGGATGAAATAAAAAAAATACGAAGACCAAGTACTGTGTGGCAAGGCAGGTGCTGTTTCCGTGGGGGAGCAGGTTGTGGTGTCCTCTTGAGGAGAGACAGAGCTGGCCTCTGGCTGAGAGTCACCTCGAAGGTATCTGCTGTCTGTTTAGACCTGCACAGACCTGGAGCTCAGACCTTCAGGAATTGTTTTGGGCAAGGCAATTTAACATTTTGCTTTGGCATTTTACCGAATCTCAGAGAACGCCTCACTGAGTTACTAGAGCTTCCAGTTTAGCTCTAGTTGATGTGAAAAAGCACTAAGAGCACCGTGCATGTGCAAATGAACTGAATTCAGAGTGTGTGGGAGTCAGGGGACTCTGGGGTACCAGCAGGGCCTTTTATTTCAGCCTTGACTTACAGATCCCCAGTTGAGTGATTTGAAGGAACACAAATTTAAAACATCGTATTTGGAAGCTCAGGTCTAGCTTTTTATCTGTCTCTCTTAGAGTGGAATCCATGTTATAAGATTTCCAGCTTCGTGCAGTAGTAAGAAAGAATGCAGTGGGCTTTGGAGGCTGTGCAGAGAGAATGAAGTGCTTCTCATGCTAGAGCACGGGCTGTGCTCGGCCACAAGCTGCCTTTTCTGTCAGTGCCACCAGCCCACCAGTTCTGGGCGGCACCTGCTGTCTTATGGGTGCTCCAGTCATAGCGTCTGGGGTTGGCAATAAGTCAGCTTGACTACTTTTTTAGGATTATTGTAAAATGCCTGACAACTAATTTAAATTTCATTTAGCTTTGAGATTGGATCTCTTCTCTACATTTCGAGGGCAGGTCTTGAACCCCTAGCCCAAGGGGTCCTCCTGCCTCAGCCTCCTGAATAGGTAGAACTATAGCTGCACACTTCCGTGCCTGTCTTAGACAATTAATATTAATAATGCACTGGTCTGCTCACTCTGTGTTTGCAAAGTATTTTTAAAAGACATTTGGTGCCAAATACATAGAGCAAAGTTAGGTCAAATGAACCTGAGTTCTTATTGGTTGGTCTTTTGCTAAAATGCATCACTTTAGCTGGGCATGGTGGCGCATGCCTATAATCCCAGCACTTGTAAGGCTGAGGCAGGAGGATTGAGCTGTGAGTTTGAGGCCAGCCTGGACTACATAGCAAGACCCTGTCTCAAAAAACAAAACAAAACAAAGCATCATCTTCAACATGTTTTCTAATTCAGTTGCTGGCCTCATTAAACAGGTTCCTTGTGTACAAACGGGGTCCTGGGCTGCTCAGCCGTTAGGAGAGGATGGAGTCCTGTCTGTTTTTCTACACAGGTGCCCTGTGTGGGCCGCCGGGTGTGTGTGGGAGCCCCGACCTCTCCAGGGGCGGTCTTTGGCTCCCTGAAGCTACATTCTTTCTTACCAATTCTGGAAACTCCTATTTCAAATGCTTCAAGAGTCATAAATTTTAGTTGTGAATCTATGTGGTATGTGTGTCAAGCTAGGTCAGTTCATATGTATAACTTTACATAGTATCTTGTGTAAAAATAGCTTTGGTTATTAAAATTGTTGCAATAAAATATCTGCACTATAATATTAAGTGTGTTCTTTGGTACTTAAGTGACTTTTTAAATGGATGGACTCTTGTTTCATTTCTTAAAAAATATCTGAACACTCCTTAACAAACAAAGAGAATGCACTGGGTTTGGGTGCTGTTTAAATCTCCTCTGGTGGGGCTGAGCCTGCGCCTGGCCGGGCGGTGGCGCCATCACTCCTGATCCACACGGCTCTGCCTTCCTTCCTGACCACGGGCCCTGCCTGAGACCCCCTCACGGCAGCGTGCACGCCTGTGAGTGTGGACGCGCTTGCACACCTGCGCCTGGCACGGTGACACCAGGCACCTTCGTGTCTGGTGTGTGGCGGGGGTCGCGGGTGTCTGACCCCAAGGGTGTCCACTCCGTGGCTCGGGACCCCGGGCGCCAGGCCACTCGCGGCCGTGTACGTGAGGCGACAGTAACCGCAGGCTGCAGGTGCGCGGCGGTGAGCCCGCCCGTCCTTTCCCGGCCACATTGTCGCCCGCCTAAGTGTGCGTCTCCGAACAGAGTCAGGGTGCAGGTGAGCTAAGTCTTTGGTTTCTTTGGACTATAAATATCACTTTTTTTCTTCAAATATTTCTGAGTATAAACCTGCTATCTTGAGGTCCTGGTCTTTAAAAATCTTCTCTTTCTGATTTAAAGCTTTTCCACCGAGGTTCAAGTCTGTGGCTCCCTTCACGCTTTGGTGCAGGTGCTGGAGGAGGAGGAGCTCCCGGAGCTGGTGCTGGCCTCGTCCTGCCACTTGTCCAGGCTCCGGCGCCGTGCGTTCATGAAGAAGTTGCTCACGGTGCTGAGCTCCAGCCCCAGCTGCTGCGAGATGGTGATCTGCAGCTCTTTGGACGGACGCTTGTTCTCCTTGAAGATGGCGTGGAGAGTTCGGCGCTGGACGTCGGTGAAGACCAGCCTGGGCTTCTTGGGTGTGTTGCCTCGATCCTTCCCGTGCTCTTGCTCTTTCCTCTTGCACGCTGCAAAGGAACACGGGACAGTTAGAGCGAGTCCCCAGGTCGGGCGTGCGGGCAGGGCCAGCCGGCTGCCAGCCGCCCCGCATTTCCAGGCTTTCTGTCCGCTGGCCTCGCTCGGGGGACTGGGTGGGGCCTGGGCAGCAAGAGGACCCCGACCTGGGTGGCTTCCTCTGGGGGTCGTGGAAGAGCCAGTGCCCCGTCTGGGTCCTCACCATAAGCCTCCGCCCGACTGCCGACCACACTTGGGGGTCGTGGAAGAGCCAGTGCCCCGTCTGGGTCCTCACCATAAGCCTCCGCCCGACTGTGCCGATCACACACTCCTCCGCCTGCCTACGTGCCAGGCCTGCAAGCCCACGGTGTGGGTCGAGGGGAGAAGACCATGAGTTCGGGGACAGCCTGCGCGACTTAAGCAAAGCAGGAAACGGAACAAAATGACACTGCTTACCTTGTTGGATTGTGGCAGAAGTTGCACGTGTAAAAGTTCACGCTAAGGGAGACGCTTTACAATGCCAGGTGTGAGGTGTTAGGTGTGATTGAAAAACATGGCGAATATTTAAATGCTTTAATTATTACAGTGAATGTCCCATTGCCGAGAAGCTCCCTTAGAATCCTGCCACCCCAGCACAGGACACACACACATCCCGGTGTCCTTGCCTCTTTCTGAAGCAGCTCTAAAGTCCTCTCATGTCTTTCAGCTGTGCTGTTGTAGCTGCCTTGATGTTCTGAACAGATTTAAACGTTCCCCTTTCTTGTCATTTTGACTTTGGGACCGGCCAGGAGCCCTGCGGTGCTGCATCCAGTGAGGAAGGGGGAAGAGGACACAGTGTCGTGGTTTCACGAGCTGCCTCTCTTTGGATGGTGCTTGGCGGAGCAGCACCGTATTTCTGGCCACACTCCGTAAAAGACACTCAGGAAAGAGGACCGCAGAACAGCTTCAGAAGGTGGTGAGCAGGAGGGGCTGCGTTTGGGGCAGGTGCCTCTCTCTCACCGCAGCCAGTGCTTTAACTGTAAACATTATCGGCAGGAGGTGGCTGCTGCTGGACCCCTAAGAGCCCAACTGGAAGTTTCACAGCCTCATAAAATCCCACTTGTTTCCTGACTCTCTCCTTGCTCTGGGAAAGCCTGCACCCGAGACCTGTGTGTGGTCTCCCTGGTGTCATACAGGCCTCCCTGCTTCTCCGTGGGCAGGAGCCCTCTTCCCTGCATCCGGGCAGGGCCTGTCAAGCTGTCACGGTCGCTCGGGGCCGTGCCCTCCTCTTGCTCCCGAAGCCCCAGTCCCTCACCTGCTGCCTCTGCTCCTCTTGCTGCTGTGCAGTCCTTCTCTTCTACTGCCGAAGGCCACCGCGGGGCTCTGCGAACCGCCTCCCCCCTCACCTCCACCCCCACCAGCAGGGGCACAGGACCCAGGTACAGGTGTGTCAGACGCAGCTCATATCCGACTTCACTGAGCGGAGCTCTCTGCCTGACACAGGCACCGGGGTGCCTCCTGGCCTGGTGGGCAGTGCTATCTGCTAGGACATCCCCTGGGTCTCCACTCCCTGCCTGCTGCCTGGATTCTGCCCTGGGGTCCCCTCCAACCTTGGGGCTCAGTCCTGGGCCAGCTTGAGAGCGGTGGTGGAGGCTGAAGACACCTCAGTCTTAGTCAGGCCACGGTCTCCAGGGTAGCTCCTTATCAGATGAGCTCAAGGCTGGCGGCACACCAGGTTCGGGGCCCAGCACCCGAAGCAGCTCTGAGTGGGCAGCCCTTGCATGAGCTTGCACGGCGTCACCATGTGACCTTACACATATAAAGCACACAGGAAATGTAGACATGTGGACACAAGGGGCCGACATAACAGTGATTCCCTTCTGCACCAGCTCAGGCAGGCCCTGGGGTGTCTTCACCCTGCTTCCAAGGCCTGGGTCCAGGCATCATTAATGTGCACGTGAGCAGGTCACAGGGGACAACGGTCACAGAAGGGGGGGCGTCGGGTAGGTTGGGCCGCAGGCGACCCTCCCTGGCGCACTCCAAGTATGATGGGAGGCCCAGCCTGCCCGAGGGTGGCACCTGTCCCAGGGGGTGGGTGTGGGACGCCATCCCTGGGAGCCAGGTGTGTCCCGACCCACCCACCAGAGATTCCTGGGTACACGTCCCTCGGCACAGCGTCGAGTCCCCTGAAGTCTGCCACGCAGGACACTGCACGATGCTGGTGCCTGCCACCAGCTGGTCGCTCGCTCACACCAGGTGACAGGCCAGGTGTGGACCAGGGGGTCACCTCCATGGGGCACCTCAGAGAGGCCCTCAGGCCAGCCCAAGATAATGGAGGTTTGCGGAGCCAGCAGAGGAGCAGCATGTGCGCAGGCAGGGGCGAGGCCGCGGTGTGGGCTCCTGGAAACCCCTCTGGTGTGGGGGAGAACGAGCTGGAGGTGGTAGGGTGGGCCAGGTGCTGTCCCTCTCCCCGCAGGCCTTGCTCTTGCCGAGATCTATTCTGGAAGTTTCCTTTGGCCAAAGGCGGTGCCAGCCGGGGTGAGAGGCTGAGGAGATGTGGGGCGTGGGGAGCTAAGCCACACGGGGCGGAATTCACCCCAACCCTGCATGGGGAGGGGACCAGTCTAAGGGGTCACCTGTGGGTGGCTGAGATCGTCCTTTAACTCCACAGTGGCTCAAGGGCTTCCCCTGTCCATCCCCCTGCCTGAAAGTCTGTGCTGGTGCCCCGGTCGGCAGGTCTCAGGAGACCTGACGGAACCATGAAGCCGGCCAGGAGACACTGGCATGGGCACCCCGAAGTGGACCACGGTAGCTGCAGGTGGAGCTGCCCCGTGAAGAGCAGAGAGATGGGGTGGGGCACAGACGGCAGCCAGAGGAGCGGAGGAGAGGCAAGCTACAGGAAGGAGGGCAAGTTTCCGGGAGCTTCCGCAGGACTGTCCCCGCGGGGGCCTCTGGGAGGCTCCGGGTTGGGCCTGGGTAGAGCTGCCGAGGAGAGGCGGGTGACCACACAACGTGCAAGGAGAGGAGCGGGGAGGCCGAGGCCGCAGTGCTGCTGCAGGGATCCACCCGGCAGGGCTGTGTGGGCTGCACTTCCTGTGAGGCACAGTCCGCAGCATGGATGGCAGGGAGCGCCAGGCCCGGTGCGGTGCTGCCTTTGTGAGCGAGACTGGGACAGCAGGGGGTCACCAGGCTCCTGACAGTGGTCTAGAGATCTGGAGGGTCCTGTGCACGACAGGAATGGATCAAAAAAATGAAAGAGCACAGGCATGCAGGCAGACAGAGGCCTCCGTCCCAGACCTGGCCAGGGCTTCCTTCACCCCGGACGGTCAGGGCAGAGCTGAGTGTGGTTCAAGAAACACGAATCCAGCTGGGTGTGGTGGTGCATGCTATGGTCCTACACCTCGGGAGGCTGAGGCAGGAGGATCCAAAATTTGAGTCCAGACAAGGCAGTGTCGTGATCTAGTGTGATCCTGTCTCAAAAATAAAAAAAAATTTTAAAGTTGGGGATGTAGCTCAGAGTGAAGGTCCTGGATTCAATCCCCAGTACAGCAAAGAAAGAGAAGAAAAGAAAAGAAAAAAAAAAAGGAAGGAAGGAAGGAAGGAAGGAAGGAAAGAAGAAACACGGGTCCGCAGGACTTTGGAAGGTATTCTGTGCACAGGGAGTGGTGAGAACACTGCATTAACTGATGATGCGACAGGGTTCTTTCACGCAGGACTTCTCCAGAGCCTTGTATTTTCTGTGTATGGGGTCCTTCAGCTTGTCTGACCAGGAATTGTTTATGCAGGGATTTCTCTCTTGTGAGAGCAGTGTTTCTCCAGGATTCCTGGCAGACCTGCTCTGGTAGGTGAGCTGTTACCGATCTGTAGCAAGATCAGAGCAGAAAAGGGAGAGGAAGGAGCCAGGCGCCGCTGTGATGTTCTGGAGTGTGATTACTTTTCTACTAAGACATTTTTATTTTGCTGTATTGTTAGAAAGACGGTCCAGGCCACATGGAAGTCAGAAACCTACTGTTACGGCTTCTATGAAGGTGTCCCAGAGTCTCCTGTGCTCACGGGCGGGCTTTTGGAAGGTAACAGAATTACGGGGCTCATAGCTTAGAGGGGTCAGGTGGGAAGACGGGGAGCGCCGGGCCTGGCCGGAAAGGTCTCTCTGTTCTCTCCGTTTCGTCCCGTGCTGTGAGCTGCTCTCCTTCGCCCCCTGTGGGACCAGCCTGCCTTGGAGCGGCCGAAATAAACCTCTCCTTCCCTAAGCTGTGGGCGTCAGGTACTTTGTCGCAGAGAGGAATAGAGTCACTGAGACAGGTTTTGGTGCCAGAGCAGCGGGGTTGTTGCTGGCGTGCTACCCGCCCGTGGGTTCAGAGGCCTCCGAAGCTGGCTCCCTGGAGGAGCTTGGCAGGGTCTGGAGACACAGGCTGGGGACGGCTGGGAAAGCTGTGAGCGGAACTCGACCTGCGGTCAAGGTGGGCGCTCAGGGGAGCAGACGCTGGCACAGTGAGCAGCAGGCTCAGGGTACTCCGGCTGCGAGCAGGACTTCCCTGGCAGCTGCGCTCCAGGCCATGTGCGTTGTGCTCTGGCGGAAGACGAATCTACAGTTTGCTGCAGTCCGGAGACTGACATGAAGGCTGCAGGAGTAATTAGCCCGGTGGGGCAAGTTCAAGGCAGCCCATCATTCAAGTTGTAGGTGCTGGGTATTTTGTCCCAGCAAAGAGGGAAATAACTGAGACACCAACCAAGCAGGCAGGTGTGAGCAGAGCGGACCCTGTTCCAAGGCCACGTAGGCCCTGAAGTTCTCGCACACAGCCTCCCCTCTGGTGGATTCCGAAGACTGCTATACGACTCCCAAGGCCCCTCCTCTCTCCCAGAATCCGCAGCTACTGCTGACTTTCCTCCGCCATCAGCTGCATCTTTTCCAGATTTTGGAAAACAGCAAGTAAGGGCTCCACGCCCAGCCAGTCCTGCACACAGCCCAGGCCGCACTCCCTTCCTGGAACGGAGGAGCCAAAGCAATCTTACGAGCGCCAGACGAGAGCAGTGA